TATTAACTATTAATATAAACTATTAACTAAAAACTAATAACAAATAGCAAATAACTAATGACTAATAACTAATAACAGATAACTAATAAGTAATAACTAATTTTGATACCAAAACGAGCGGGCTGCTGCAATTTTTCTCGACTATTCTATTTTCAGAAGAAATTGCTTATATCTGCGCCAAAAATTGTTAGATTGATCTGCAAATGTAATATGTTGTTAAAGTCAGCGCGGCAATCACTTTACAATCAAAATCAAAGTTAGGTTTTTGGTTAGTTTTTTCGAAAATTGACCATTACTATTTTTCGGTATCATAGTCTAGCGTTTCGTCATCAATCGGAAAACAAGGCAAAAGTTTGTTCTTATAACGCGATTGACGTACATTTCTAATGTTATTGCGCATTTTATTACGTTCAATTTGATACCAAAGCGCGCTCCCTGCAACGAGTTTTTTCATTCGAGGTCAGATTTTGATGCGAGCTGAGGGTCTTGTAAAATCACCTATGACTGTAACCCATCTCTTGGTGCCAAATTCAGACATGCGAAAAAGATGAACAACTATTGATAGAATTTCACTTTGAAAGTATAGATGAACCAATTTACATGTTTTTGGACCTTCTCAGATGCACTGTCATGGGTGAAATAAGCGTATATTGATCATCTTTATAGTGAAAGTGAAATAAAATACACTGATAAAATACAGTAACAAATATGCTAATAAAATACACTAATAAAACACACTGACTAAATACAGTAACAAAATATGCTAATAAAATACACTAATGAAATACTCTAATAGAATTCACTAATAAAATACAACAATACAAAATACTAAAAATTGGTTTTACTTACAGCTTTATTCTAATTTTGTTCAGACTGACTTATTGCTAAAAGATACGAATATTTGAGTGTGATTATATAGAACAGTGGTTCCCAAAGTGGGCGATATCGCCCTCGTAGGGGCGATGGAAAGATTTTGGGGGGCGGTAAAGAAGAAGAGGGTGAAAGGGGGGCGATAGGGGGGCGATAGAGAGGGCGGCAGTCCGAAGCCGAAGTCAGAAGTTCGAACGTTTGTTTGACTACTTGTACACAACACGTGCAGCAAACGACTTCCAGCGATGGTTTTTTTCACCCAGATCTGTTTTTAGCGCATTTTCTCATTTATGGAAAAAATGCACTATTGTGCTCGCGATGTCCGTCCGTCTGTCTGTCCGCCTGTCTGTCCGTCCGTGACTTCACGTTTTCGTCGACGAGAAAATGCGCTCTCTGTCACTCACTGCAGTGAGTACTGTGCTATATTTTTTTAACCTCTCCTGGGTTTAGGTCTCCGACCAATTAACGGCCGGACTCGCGGCCAATTTCCAAATTCAATGATCAAGGAATATCTCTCAAACTAATGAACTTAACTCGATGAAACTTGGTACACGTATTCATTAGGACCTTACGGTAATTTAAAGCTCGTGAAAATTTTTTGAATTTTGCCTTCAATTGTGTTTGCCATAGTTATATGGCAATACGGGCCGAAATTCACATTGATCAAGGAATTTCTTCCAAACTACTGAACAGATTCGAACGAAATTTTGAATTTACAGTCCTAACTACCGAATGGTGATATTTAGCTCTACGCTGTTATAGTGTCAAATCTCCACCTAATAACCGTTATTAATCGCCTCTCGACGCTGTTATAGTGTCAAATCTCCACCTAATAACCGTTATTGCTCGCCTCTTGACGGGTGTGATTATTACAAGAAACTAATTGTTAACTAACCGAACTAATTTTTAGGACGGTTTCAAGGTAATTAAGTGATTTTAACGGTTGCATCATAGTACTAGTGCACTAGCCGGGCAGTGACAACTGTCATAACGGTTACTTGTCTTGCCAGCTTTAAACGACTAAGTGCGAACTAAGCCTTTAACTTCACAACGTAAGCCCCAACGTGGCGGTTGCGGTGTTTTCTCACGTGCATATGTGTTGGTAAGTTCTTTGAGCCGGCGCATAAAGTAAAATTGGTGTATGAACCCTATTAAATTTGTGTGATTCATTCGAGGAACTACTTGTGGAAACATTTCGAACTAATTTTTAGGACGGTTCGCAATTATTTAGTAATGATATTTAAACTGTTGCGTCATCCTAGTGAAACGTTTGAGTTGAGATGTGAGACCGGACTACGGGAAATGACTAAGTCTGCAGTGCCAACCGCCACTTGTCTTCGCCCGCTTTAGTCCGACTAAATGTGAACTAAGCCCTAACCTTAACAACGTTCTTGTAACTAAACTAATGATACTATCGTTTCTAAATTCATGATGCTATGTTTTCGTTTTTAGCACATTTTCTCATTTATGGGAAAACTGCTAAATGCTTCATGTATATTCCATTAGTGTCATTGTCTGAAAAATGTACCAAATTGGTAATAAAAGCAATGGATAATAACTTACGTGTCAGACATCATGTGTTTTCTTGCTAACTGCATTTGTAGTGCACTTCTTTTAATGTAGCCCATGCCCTCTCACAGAGTTGTGATAATAATTATTTTTCATGTTTCACACAATGATTTATCCCAGCCAATCTTGCACATAGTTTTGCAGCTCACTAATGGGAAGAGACAACCCCATTTTCTATATCCATTTGATGCAATTTAAAATAGTGCACTTAATTTCTCTAATCAAAAAAGCTAACAAGTTATAATGAAGTTTGAGCCATAGATAAAATTTTTGGCCATAATACTCCATGTACTGCACAATAATGTATTCATTGTAAACCTATTTTTGATAAACTGTACCGTCAACCGGGGCTACTCGGGAGGATTTTGAAAGTTTTTCATTCATAAGTTCTTACCATGAAACATTTCATAAACAAGTTTAGGCTTTTATTTTACAGCTGTTTCTATGTTTGCGCTTTCATCGATTTCTTTGAATTTTTCTACTAAGCCCTCGTATGTCTCCACCTTCTTTTGTCCCTGTTACTATAGTCCTTGAATTTTACTTTCCAAATGCAAGAAAAACTTTCGTATAGAAAAGCAATAAATTCCCGAGAACATTACCGGAGGCCCGCCTAGGTCGCCAGAATCATTGAAACTGAGCACAAATCGAATCGGAAAGCTGTTCTACCGTCCACACGTTCCGACTTGTCTGCGCAGTTCATCGAAATCTATGCTCGGTAGCTCAGATTTCGATGGAACTGCGCAGTTTTCCCGCCGGCTCCAAAACTGCGCAGTTTTCCCGTCCACACGCAACGTTGTGACCGCGTTGTGTAAGACTGAGCGTGTGGACCAGGCTTTACATGAACTGGTTACGATTAATTTTGGTACTTTAATACGCGTTTCAAATATAACAGATTGGTACCATATGGATACGAGGTACCAGAGACCAGATTGGTACCATATGGATACTTGGTACCATAAGCCAGCTCGAGGTACAGTATTTCAGCTCGGGAGGCTGCGGTTCGGCTCCAGTTGCCGGCGTACTATCCTAGCGTGCACATCTGTGTCGCTCCGTTCATTAAGCCGGCTCATAGTGTTAAATTGGTGTATGAACCTTATTGAATAAGTATGGTTTTTAGTAGGAACTACTTGTGAAGTAACCGAACTAATTTTTAGGACGGTTTTTAGTGTAATTAGTGATACTTAAGAGTGTTGCGTCATACTAGTGAAAGGTTTGATCTAAGACCAAGCTAGTCAGTGCTGGTGGTCAACCGTCACTAACTTGTAGTGAAGTTAGTCTGACTAAGTGCGAACTTATCTAACCTATTGTGACTACACTATTGACGGCTATGAACCCTATTAAATTTGTGTGATTCATACAAGGAATTAGCCTACCTACTTGTGAACACATTTCGAACTAATTTTTAGGACGGTTCGCACTTATTTAGTAGTGATATTTAGACTGTTGCGTCATACTAGTGAAACGTTTGAGTTAGATGTGAGACCGGCGACCGGCAAGGACTAAGCCGGCAGTGCCAACCGCCGCTTGTGTTCGCTCAGCTTTAGTCCGACTAAATGTGAACTAAGCCCTAACCTTAACAACGTTCTTGTAACTAAACTAATGATGCTATCGTTTCTAAATTCATGATGCTATGAATGTTTTCGTTTTTAGCGCATTTCCTCATTTATGGAAAAAATACACTATTGTGATCGCCATGGCCGTCTGTCTGTCTGTCCGTCCGTGGTCCGTCGGACTCCGTCCGTCCGTCCGTGACCACGTTTTCGTCGACGAGAAGTTTTTAGTTTAGTTTTTAGTTTTTAATTTAGTTTTAGTTTAGTTTTTAGTTGAACTTTTAGTTTTTAGTTTAGTTTTTATTTTTTAATTTAGTTTTTAGTTTAGTTTTTAGTTCAATTTTTAGTTTTTAGTTTAGCTTTTAGTTTTTAGTTTAGCTTTTAGTTTTTAGTTTAGATTTTAGTTAGTTTTCAGTTATTCCTACTTTAATTTTTAGTTTAGTACTTAGTTTTTTTGTTTAGTTTTTAGCCTAGTTTTTAATTTATTTTTTGGTTCAATTTTTAATTTAGTTTTTAGTTTTTAGTGTAGTTTTTAGTTCAGTTTTTACTTTTTAGTTTAGTTTTTAGTTTAGTTTTTAGTTTAGTTTTCAGTTTTTACTTTAATTTTTAGCTTAGTATTTATTTAGTTTTTAGTTTTTTATTAGTTTTTAGTTTAGTTTTTAGCTTAGTTTTTAGTTTTTAATTTAGTTTTCAGTTTTTAGTTTTATTTTAGCGCATTTTCTCATTTATGGAAAAAATGCACTATTTTGCTTGCCATGTCCATCTGTCCGTCTGTTTGTCCGTCCGTGACTCATGTTTTCGTCGACGAGAAAATGCACTCTCTGTCACTCACTGTAGTGAGTACTGAGTTATATTTTTTTTCATTAAATGATGCATATTTTTTTTCATTAAATGATGCTATAGTTTCGAGGGAGAGAGGAGGGTTTGTAGTTATAAATAATATATACCTAATTTGGACTTCTTTCTCCAATTTTGCTAATATCATAATTTGTATTTGTACAATAATTGCAGATATATCAATATTACAAAAAATGAAATACTGTACAGTTGTTCTCCACAAGCTCTCTGCAGCTAAAGTGGAAAGAGACATCACAGGTGGTGTGAAAATATCCACTGGGCAATCAATGTCAGCTGGCGGTTGCAAAGTTGATACTGAAGGTGAGCTAAACTATAGTCACATTCATGTTCTTTTCATAATCAAATGCAAAATCAGTGACAGGACTGGCACAATATTAGCTCCTCACTTTTAACATGGACTTGACTTTGAATTTATTTTCTTACTCAAGTAACTAACATATTATGATAGTTTCTGTATAATAAAGTAGCAGTAATTCCATTTATTATTTATTTTGGTCCTGAATTTTATTGAATTGTTACTTTTAGTGGGAAATTCATGGCATATAGATCAGTGAAAATAATGGTTGGTTCCTATAATTTTTTGTCTAAGCTACCCAATTTCATTCATATTGAAAGCACTAACAGATACTAAAACTTGTGCAATGTTCAGGTGGAGAAACTCCCTCCGGCCTGCTCAGCAATGAGCTGAAGGGTGGTGATTTGGGAAGTGGAAGCTTAAAAGGAAGGTCTCCCAAGAAACAGGTATTCCTCTTGTACAGCCTGGCTATAGACGTTCAAGTGCTTCCCATTTCTAAGACATGTTTATTGAATACTTTGAGATTTGGTAGTAAAAACAGTACCTAGTCTGGTTGTGGAAATAAAAGTAATTTAAAATGAAATACATATTTTATTTTGTCTCTTAATGATTTGTATGCTGCAATTTAGGAAAAGAATGCATGAAATAATTTTGAGGAATAAATACTTTTGAAACTTTAATTTTATTTGTAACAATAAAATCTTTTCTTACAAAAGCTCCAGCTATATCTTGTAAGGTACACAAGTGTTTATTTTTTGTACATAAAAACTGAAGAAAATAATTTTCTTAAATAATTGAAAATAAATGTAACAATTCATTATTCATGTGTAACCTCACACACCAGGGTTGGTGTTGATTAAATTAAACTGATTAAATCATGCAAATGAATCATTTAATTTCTTTAGGAAAAATCATGATTATATTTTTATATTTATTTTTTTTTATTACATTTAAATATATTGAGTGTCAGTCTTTAATTTATTTTGAAGTTTCTTATTAATGGCTTAGTATAAAAGTAGGTACTATGAATAATTGGAATATAAACTTGTTCCCTTTAATGTGTATTAGGTTCCAATGAATTGTATGTTTATGGTACAGAGGCATCAAGTGTTGCAATACATTGTACATAGCTAACAGCTTAGCTAATTCTTATAAGGCTATAAGTAGTATATAACTAACTATTTGACTATTTGTCATATATTAATACAATATACAATTTAAATGTGTTGGCTAGCTTATACATGGTGAGACAGAACCGATTGATAAGTTTTGAGGCGAAACATGAGAGTAATTGAGTTACATAAAGAAGAAAGTTTATTTTCCTAGGGGAAAATAAACTTTATTTTTCTCAAAGAGAAATAAAAAATGAACTTATTTTTAAACCTCTAGGAAATAAATACTTTTGTTTTGAAAATACCAAATGATCCTGATGAGAAAATGGCTGTGCAGGCACGTCTGCACAAGACTCTTGCTGACCATAGTGACCCTGCTTCCTTGCCTCTTGCTGTGGCACTGCCAGAGGTGGTCGTACATGAAATTTCATGTGAAGAAGCTGGCGAAGGTATATCAGCTTTTGCTGGTGTGACTAAAGCCCAGGTGTGTTGGTTCACTTTCTTAAATGTTTTTTAGCTTAAAAACTTTCTCACACTGTGTCTGGCTGTCTGCTGCTATATGATGTAAGTAAAATGCCTTTCGGTCCCTTTTAAATCATCAGTAGCAAGACCTAATTTTCATGAGTGGCTGGGGCAACAAGCAAGGAAACTTTGAATTCCTTCTGTAGGATTCGCCTAGATGATGGTTTTTGTCGTCTGTTGTTGATTGGTCTGTATGAGGCGGCCCCAGTTGGTGGTTTGTCAGGTTTGAGGATTGAGGTTATTTTGCCAGTTTTCCAGATGTATGCTATTTTGGAATGTGAGTAGATGTTGGCAATGTTTGTAAGTGTCTTGATTCCGAGTGGACCAAGGTGTTTAAGGTGTATGTTTGTAATGTTTTCGGGCCCAGCAGCAAAGGAGTTTAATTTGCTGTATGGCCCTTTTGGTGTCGTTTGTAGTGGCAAGGGTAGCTGTTGGGTCTAGTGGAAATTGTTGTTTGCGTCTTATAATGCGTCTGTCTTCTCTGTATTTGAATAGTCTATTTATGTTTGCTTTGTATTATATTAGTACGTTTGCTTGTGCTTGTCTGGTAGGAATGTTATCGGTATTGGTGGTGATTGCAGTGTGGGTGTGTTCTTGTTTGCTGTTCGACTTGTGCATGCTGCGCATTGTTCTGCACAGTTGTGTGATGATGGATTTATGGTGTATCCAGGAACTCGAGCCAAGCCCGTTGCTGTTGTTCTGTAATTTTGTTCCAAATTTGTGCGTTCAGTTTCTGGATTTCTCGAGTAGTGATTGGTGGGTGTTTGTCAGAGAGTCTTGCGTTGACGGATCAGGCTGTCAATATCAGGTGTGAAGTTAGGGTTATGTTTGTTGTTTTCTTTTGCCCTTTGGCATATTTTTCTTGTCAGCCTCTTGGATGATTATGTTAAATTGGGCAACATTGTGATCAATGTTTTCGATTGAGAGGAGTTTGAGGTGCTCAAATTGTGCTTCTATCTCATGTTTGAATTCCTCCCAGTGTGCTCGTTTGAAGTTGTGTGTTTTGCGTGGTTGTGTTTCGTTTTGGATTGTGTTTTAATGATGATGGGTAGGTGGTCTGAACTTGTGTGTTTATGTACTCCATGCAGTTGTGTTTCCTAGGTTTGGAGAGCAGAATGTTATGTCTGGGAGGTAGCTTGTCTGTCTGCTTGGTGTGGGACGTGAGTGTATTGCTCTGTCGTTACGAATGTAGAGTGTGTTGTGTGTCTAAGTATCTATCTCTGTCGTCTGCTTGTTGATTGTTGTACCATACTCGATGCTTGGCGTTGAAGTCGCCACCCAGGATGATGTTGTTTTGTGTATCCAGGGCCTGTAATGAGAATTGATAGATAGCGGGTAATCCCGGAGAGTTGTGTTGGGGAATATAGGTGTTTATGAGTGTGATTGTGTTGTGGCCAGTCTGTTCCCTAACTGATTGCTGTTCAAGGTGTTGGTCTGCCTTTATGTCTGTACGTGTCTGTTGTGTAATGTCGATGTGTGAGACGCTCTGTATGTGATGAGACGCCCGCCAATTCCACGAGCTCTATTTTGTCGCATTGTGGAGTAGGACGGTATGTTGGGTGTTTTATATCTGTGTTGTAATTTTAAATTTTGTTTCTTGTATTAGTACTACGTGTATGCTGTGCTTGTGCATAAGGTGTTTGAGCTCTTGGTGTTTGGTGCGGGTGCCGTCTATGTTAAATTGCAGTATGTTGAGATCCCTTGTGTTTCTGTTGTTCATGTGTCGTGGACGATGTTTGGGAGGAGGTGGTGGTGGTCGTGGCGGTGATGGTGGCAGTGGTGGTTTTGGTGGCTATGGGGTCGGTGTGGGTTGCTGTGGTGGTGATGGGGTGGTTTTGGTGTTGAGTGTGAGGTTGACTAGGATAGGGGATGTGCTTGTGGTGTATGGGTTTGTGACGAGTTAGTGTTTGTGGTGTTGTTTGTGAGTAGGCAAGTGGTGCATTTAAAGTCGTTTGTGTAGTGATTAAGTGAAGGGAGTGTAGTGCACCGGAGGTGGACCCACTCGCCGCAGGAGTTGCAACGGACGGAGCCAACATTGTTTGTGATGCGTGTAGTGCAGTCGGGCAGATGTAGATGGGCCCTTGATTGGACTCGATGTCCCCGGCGAGTAAGTGTAAGAGGGATTCAATGGCCGGGACATAGAACCACTCTGTCGAAAAAACGAGGGACGAATCCCTGCCGGCGGCGCCGCCTAGGACGCAAGGTACCCCGGGCCAGGGCCCAGGGTGGGGTTGAGGTCAGGGAGTTTGGCCGCCGAAGGTCGCACGCTTCCTTCGACTGGTGGCGCCACTACGTAGAGGCCCCCCGGTGAGAAGGGGCTCTCCACTCGAAGAAGCTCCCACATCCAGCGGCGTTGTCTCTGTTGATGTTACTGATGAAAAAATGGTTTGTGCAGGCACGTCTGCACGAGACTGTTGCTGACCATAGTGACCCATCTTCCTTTCCTCCTGATGTGGCATTGCCAGAGGTGGTCGTACATGAAATTTCATGTGAAGAAGCTGGCGAAGGTATATCAGCTTCTGCTGCTGTGACTGAAGCACAGGTGTGCAGATTTAGCATTAAAATATATATTTTGTTATACTTTCAAAAAATCTTCCATCTGACATGCCTGGCTCTGTTGCTTATTATTTTAAAAACTCTTCCATCTGACATGCCTGACTTTGTTGCTTATTATTTTATGGTTTAGACCCAGGGTGCCTTTCTTGATGTGACTTACATGTTGTAGATAAAATGAAGGACCTGTCTTAGTTAATGTCATAAGTAGTTTTGGTGAAACATCACTTTCATTCTATATTATGAAGTATTAAATAAGATATTATGGCAGGTTTGGCCTTCCCAGATGGATGTTTCTTTGGGTGGCGATGGTGGCACTCCTGCCTGTAGTTCTGCTGTAGCAGTCTGCAATGTGGTGCATGAGACCTCATGCCAGCAGGCTGGCGATGCAGCATCAACTTCTGCTTCTATGATGGAAGCTCAGGTGTGCAGATTTAGCATTAAAATATATATTTTGTTATACTTTCAAAANTCTCGTTTCGTCTGTCCCGGTTCATTTCGAGAAAATTATTTCGAGACGCAGGAGTCTACTGATCACATGATGATGCAGTCTGACTGCTCTGACATGACCCCAACTAGCCTATGCGATCTATAAAGAAATGTTTTTGGTTGACATGTTGTTTTGTTGTGCAGGATATTTTGGCAGGATCATTGAAAAAGTGCAGTTTGCGGAAGTTAGAAATTTTATGAAATGACGTATTTGCAGAGTGCAAACCATGATTTTTTTCAATCTTACAGAAATACATCACATTACAGCCGCGATATTTCAGAAAAAATAGGACTTTTCCAGTCCTGGACTGTGGCATCCACCTTACTTTACTGTATAGAGCTACTCTTGCTGAATTTTCACTTTGGGCAGTTAAAACTGCAGTCTTTTCACTAAATGTCAATAAAAAGATCTATAGTCAGATGGTGTAAGACCTGTCTCTTATACACATCTAGATGTGTATAAGAGACAGGGCCTGTTTGTCCCAAAGAAAACGGAGTGTCATTTAAGGGGGACTATGACAAAGTTCTGCCGGGTATAGATGATGTAGCTGAAGGGTGTGTTTGAAGCTGACGAGCGTCTCAGAGCGACGTCACAGTAAGTCCAAGTATTTTTGGGTCGCGTACAGTTGGAATGAGTGTGTTGGTAATAATGAGGTTGAGTTGTGTGCTATATTCGGCCGGGTCAGATGTGAAGAGTGTGGCAGTGTTTTTTGTTGCATAAAGTTGTAGTTGGTTTTGTGTGGTCCATGTATGTATGTATGGTTTGAAGGTACGGTTTAAGGAGTTGTGCAGCAGTGTTGTAGGCTTTGTGGTAGGATAAGATTGTTATGTCATCTGCGTATGAATTATTTTAATATTGGGTGGAGGTCGAAGTATGTCTGAAACATATACGTTAAACAGTGTGGGGGATAAGACTCCGCCTTGTGGTACGCCAGTTTTGATTACTTTCTGTTGAGAGTTGGTGCTGTTTACTTGTGTGAAGCCTTTCCTACCTTTAGTGTGGTTTATTTAAGTGTGTGGTGTGCTCTATTGTGGTTGTGGATAGGTTATCTGTCTTCTTTGTATTTGGGTAGCCTTATGTTTGCGTAGTGTTGTATCAGTATTATATGGTTGACACCTGAGGCGCAATTTTCATCAGTGCTAAAAAAATATAAATTAGATGGCAGACATCGCTAATGGAATTAATACATTGTATTCTTTCTATTCAGTGCCATCTACTCCATGTACAAGTTGTCGAAGATGCCCAGCTGGATACGGAAGCGCGTCGAGTTCATTCACCTGACTTTGATCCAGCTTCTGTTGCCGAACATCTTTCGAGGAAAGAGCTCATGATAAGGGCTTTGGAGCCAGCTGCTTTGGACGAAAATATCGGACAAAAAATCATAAGTATTGAGGAAGGTTTACAGATTACTGTAAAGTCTTCCCGTCAAGAGTTTCCAACTACGTCGGAAAAGGAATTTTCATCGCATTTACCAAATTCTGTTGAAATCGACCATTATCTTCACCGAAAAGTTTCTAACTCGAAACGACCAGCTAGACCATGCCCCTACTGCGGCTTGTTCCGAAATAAACTGGCAAGGCACGTGCGGTCAATGCACGGAGATCTTGTTGAAGTTGATGATATGAAAAAAATGTCTCCCAAGAAGCGCTCTATAGAAATGAAGAAAATACGAAACAGAGGTATATTTAATCATTACCTCAATAATCCGGATGAAAAGCTTGTACTTAGGAAAAATGCGTCCATAAAACGATCAAGAATCTGCATCCGTTGCAAAGGTTTTTTTGCAACTAGGTATTTTTCTTCTCACAAATGCGTTGAGGATGGGTCGGGCAAGGCCACTGGCATTAAAGCTCATGTACTTAGAGCTGCAAACACTGATGAAAATTTCGCCAAAGAAATAGCAAGTAGATTTCGCAACGACGAAATCGGTCTATTATGCACATCCGATCCCATAATAATGTCATTGGGACATCAACAATTTAAGTCCCTACAATGCAGTTTCAAACGGATTGAAGCGAGAGGCAGGACAATGAAATATATGCGCCTTATAGCACGTCTTTTAGTCAACTTTCGCGCTTCAGCCGCAAAAGATGGTAAATTATTGGATACGCATGATCTGTTTAGGCGTATATATTTTCCATACTTGGTCAAAGCAATTGAGAACGTCAGCAAAGTTGATAACAAGACAAAGCATGGGCTGAAAATTGCTCTAGGCTATGCCATCAAAGAGGCCGCTCTGGCCCTCCAGGGAATGTTTTTGATTTCGGAAGAAGACAAAAAAGCAGATGAAATCACTAAATTTTTGTCTATATTGACAATGAAATGGGGAGAAATATTCCGAAGTTCGGAGTACGCTTCGAAAAAAAAAAGAGAAGAAGTTCTAAGACGACCATCTCGACTGCCTGATATGGCAAAAATGGAGGCCGTCAAAGAACACATAAATGGACGTTTGAAGGTCCTTACAGGTGCTTCAGCAATCACGGCCAGTGATTATTTGGAAATCCGACGCTTGATTGTCTGTCGCCTTGTGTTTTTCAATGGGCGACGTGTGAGTGAACCCTGTCGCATTACTATAAAAGAAAGGGAAGAAACCTTCGAAGGAGTATGGCTGGATGAACGTGCCATTTTCAGAATGTGCTCGGATGAGGAGAGACAATTGATTGATTCTTTCTACATAGCCTACATTAGTGCGAAGAACACTTCTTCGGTTGTCGACCTAATAATTCCGAAAGATTTGAAAAGGCCTATTCAAATCTTGATGTCCGAGGAAAACCGAAGAAAAGCTGGCATACACCCAGACAACAAATTTGTATTTGCGAATATTAGAAATAGCAAGGATCACGTATGTGGGTGGCGTGACGTTGACACGGTCATCAAGGACTCCAAGATAGGCCGTGTAACATCCACGGACATACGCCACCATTTGAGCACTCTTTTTGCAGAGACCGAACAGGCGGAGACCGTGCGATCACTCTTTTCCCAACATCTCGGTCATTCAGACAATATCAACAGGTCTGTGTACCAAGCCCCACCAGCTGTGCGAACGCTCCTGGGAGTTGGGCGCTTTCTCCAAAACGCTGATTCAGGCATGTGCAACGCGGGCACAAGTAAAGCCGGTTCTGCGATTCTCCCCAATGCCCGTGATAACTCAGTGCGGGAGTTACCGCCCTCGCGCGTGGTGGCGACGTCGAAGGTTTCCACAACCACCACTACAGAGGAAGAATTGGATAGCACAGACGATTCAAATAATTCTCACACGACAGAAGTCTCGTCCGCGGTTTACTGCACTCCTGTCAAACGAGCTCGTCAAACTCCTGTCAAACTCGCTCGTCAAACTCCTGTCAAACTTGCTCGTCCGACTCCATGCTCTGAAACCCCGAAAGCAAAGTCAGGACGACGATATGTAACCTGGACGAAAGAAGACACGGCTAAGGTCAAGTCGTTCTTCGCCAACCATATCCGCGGGAAGAAAGTCCCACTTCGGACAGCCGACATCCTGAAGTTCATAAACGAAGAAGACACCGTGACACTCCGCGGATTCAAGGTTCAACGTCAGGCATCCTTCCTCCGATCAAAGATTTGCAACGAGAAGAAGACATATCTTATGTCCAAATAGTGTAATTATGCAAGTGATCTGATGTTAGTTAGCTGATTTTAGTTATTATTTATTAATTATTAATGTCCACTGACATTCGAAAAAGATTCACAACTATTGATACAATTTAGAGATCAAAATTAATTGATAGAGTGGGTCAAAAACGAATAGGTCTCGCGAACAATTGAAATATGTCCACATTTGGGATTGCTGAGCCGAGTCGGTTTAAAATTATTTCAAAGCAAAATCACGCATATCGTTGGAATCAGCATTCAATAGCGCACAGATTTTCCAAGTTGTACACGCGATTTGTGTCTGCCTTAAAAGTTATGACCAATTAACCATAAGGTTGATGACCATAGGGGTTTTGGGGCATGATCTTTACATTAATTTTTTGGGCCCACTTGGACAATTTTTAAACCGGGCCCGCCATTTCAGTCGGTTGCGAGACAGGTTAGTTTTACCATCTTGTGGTCTCCGGGGATGGCCGCTCGTACCCCATTTGTCTTGCAGAACGGCGACCGGACCCTCTGTGTGTTGCTATGGAAGTCGTGGCCAGTACGAGAGGAACGTCACGACCGAGCCAATGGTCCCGGACCCGCTCGATCGGGCGTTAGTACTAGGCTACGCTCGCTGCTGAGTAGGACCAAACGCCTCTTAAGCCTGAAATCGTTCCAGCACATGTTTCCTGAAATCGTTCTAGCACAATAAATCACTACCTATTACGACGCTGATATCAGGGTGAAAAGAGGTTCAGAATGAAAATTGAAGGTACGGTACGTATTTCGTGAAACGTCGTACTGACGTTACAATGCAACGTTGAATCAATGTTGCTACTACGGCATTGCTACAACGTCAAATTTTCCGATTGAATAAACGTTGAAGAACCAACCTCTTTTTCGACCGTAGCAGGACTCGCGTGCATGGGAAAGAAAAGCTAGCTAAAGAATAGCTGTACTCCTTGAATATTGAAATGCATTCTCTGGTCTCTAATCGTACAGTTACACATAGGTATATCAATCATTCAATGCTTATGTAATTATAGTTTCATGCTGGTAAATAGCAAAACATTCACCTATATCGATCATTTTTCGTACTTATATCGACCATTTTTCAACCTTTAAATAAGGTTATTTGCAGTCTCTTCTAATGTTGCTCAGATTTCGACGCTGAAATGACGTTTAATTTTGATTGTTCAACATTTCAACTTTTGATTGTTCAACATTTCAACCTAAAATCAAGCAATAACCAACGTTGTTTCAACGTGGGCCACCACAAATTAATAAATACGTTAATTTACACCAATAGATTAACTTAGATAAAATCAAATGTGTTTTCTCTAAGAACAGCAATGATATTTTAATTTCATTTATTATTATTAATGTATTCACTCATAGAGTAAATACATTATTTTAGTTAGAATAATTATTTTATTGGGAAAATAATCAAATAATTATAAAACAGACACAAATTAAATAATTAAAATACAATGTAATGAAATTGATTGTTGAGTTGATTGAATTATTTTTATTGTGCATTATTACTGGAACGAATTATTACTGGAACCACGTACATTGTTTTATCATAAAATCATGAATGAAATTAGAATTTTACACCAAGTAAAGCGATAATAAATCGATTTTCAATATATTTAAGGTAGATAAGAAACTCACACTAAAATTTTAATGAGAATGGTTTGTACAAACTTCGTGAATTATTTTTTTCAAGGAACATACTTTTCCGCTGTATTAGCGCGTTACGGCCGGCGGCCGCTAAGTGGCACGCGATCGCATTCTTGCAGAGATATGAAGTGGGGTGGAAGCGAAGTAGTAGCAGACAGCAGTGATAATAAGAATTTAAGAAAATATATAAGGTCAGTGTTGGTATTGAATGCAAAGGATTAGTAGTTCAAAATGTTAATTACAAGCAAAAACGAACAAGTGCACTCCTGACCAGTCACCAATTTTCATGTCAGTTAAGGTTAAGCCGTTAAGGAATAAGGATGAGCCAATAATGGTGACTTTGGTGAGCATAGTGGTGGACTCTCTTAATTTATTTAAGAGGTGATTGGAGCTGTAAGATTTTAGTGATAAGTATGAAAATTCCAATCTTGGGCTCCATCTGAAACTAATAAATCCATCCACACTCCACATGCACATCTACCAGCAGCAGCAGCAGCTTAGTGAGCAGCATGAAATTCTAGAAATAGTGGTTCTATTATTTAAAATAGATCTAGCCTGCAATAAAATTGGTTTCAAAACATTTGCTAATTATGCCAGGAAATTATGATATCAGACTTTTAAATCCAGTATATGTGCAATTATCATGACTCATAGTGGCAAACCAAAGCTTTTTTAGGATCAGTTCATTTTTAATTTCCTCATTTACTCAAGATTCAAGCCAATTTCTTATGTATGATAATGCTGGTATCCAGGATACTTTACTGCTATACTTATAGGACTCAAAAATGAACTTGAGGGAGAGTCTAAAAAACTCTCTGCTTTGCCACTATGTCATGACTTGAGAGCACACATAGGTGGCAAAGCAGAGTTTTTTAGACTCTCCCCCAAGTTCATTTTTGAGCCCTATAAGTAGACCAGTAAAGTATCCTGGATACCAGCATTATCATACTTAAGAAATTGGTTTAAATCTTGAGTAAATGAGGAAATTAAAAATTAACTGATTCTAATAAAGGTCTGGTTTGCCACTTATGTGTGCACATAGGGTAAAGTGACGGCCCGGTAAACGCGGTATATTCCAACACATTAAGGACGTAGCAAGAAATGAATGGCTATAAATAGATCACCGTATGTGCAAATCAAGTTCTGATTGGTTTACGTCACTCTCAAAACACCATAGTGACCATACTATGCGCCAGCTACAATGAAACGTCACAAACTGTTGCCAACTTGCCATATTTATTTAAAAGCCTTTAGAATTCAAACCTACAAAATCCCTGAATTCTGACGCTGTGTGTGACTAAATTTGGCATATTGTGAGACTAATTCCGGCAGTGCTTCAAACTCTATTGTTGGAATTACCTGTGCCCTGGGCCCCTGTGATAGGCTGTGAATTCCCTGTGCCCTGTGTTGTTGCAATTCCGACGCCGTGTGTGAGCTGTATCGGAATACGACAGCTTGGAACGAGCTTAATTACAAAATTTTAATTTCTTAATTAAAAGCTATTAAGCTTTTAATTAGGAACATTTTAATTTTTGGACACAGCTCGGAACGAGCTGTGTGTGTCTAATTCCAAGCTGTGTCGGAATTAGTTTTTATGAGTCTAAAACCGTCGCTTAACTTAATCATCTATTAATTTATTTACCACTTGAAATCATCAAATACAAGTATACTTAAAGAATTCCTTATATATTCACAGACTTTTATATAAGTCTCAAACCATAATATTCTTTCTACACAAACAGTTTATCACTATTTGGTAGAGCAAGGTGAACTATCAGCTTTGACACGTTTTTTGATGTTCTCACTGGGTGACGTGCATTGTCTCTCTTTGGATCTTAACATTTTCCCGCCAGATGGCCCAGACCTAGCGTTTTGGCAATAGTATGGCGCGCAATAGTATGACGTCACTATTTCAACCATCAACGAATGCGTGGAACTAAGACAAAGCTTAATATAAAGGAATAAGTTGAGAAGTGTCAGAATTACCCACGATGTCGGAATATACTGCATTTACCTATATTACCCCTCATAATTCCACCCTAAATTTTTCAGCATGCTAGGTACGGAGCCCGGAATAGCGTGGAAAACATCTATCCGTAGGACCGTGACAGGAGCTTTCCTGTCATTTTTGGAATGCAAGATTCCCGCTAGATGAATTACCTGCTATCTAATTGTTGGCACGAGTGCGTGATTGGGCGGCAACTTGCCAAGCGTTTTAAAAATTCTCCAATTGGAGCCGCAAGATTTCAGGGACAGGTGGAAAAATTCCAATCCTGCCAGGGTGCTAAGAGTGGGTGACATTTTATAATGCTGCAGCTACAATGCTGTAAATAAACATCAATAAACTTGTTTTAAGCATACCAATAATGGTGACTTCTGTAATTTGCTGGTACTACACTGAGGCAGAATCAGAAATTTTACAATTACCACTCAGGATTGGAACTACTTGTTTCTGAAATCTCGCGGCTCAAATGTGACAAATTTTTAATACATTTGGAACCTTGCGGCCTGATCATGCACTTATGAAAAATTTAATAGGAGGTAATTCAATAGGATTGGAATTTTCCTATTTGTTTCTGAAATTTTTCGGCTCAAACATTAGTAATTTTTGTTACATTTCTATTCGCCTGATGATGCACTTCTGCTTACAATTAAATTGGAGGTAATTTTCTCCAGGACTGAATTTTCTGAGAGGCAACTGAGAAAGATTTGTTTGATGTCAGTGGTGGTAGTATGGTTGTTATAGGCTATACTGAGTATACCTAGGACATTTGCTCCCATAGCCTATAATGTTTAGTTTTTGTGTCTGTTTGGCACAGGCATGGAATATATCTACTTGGTGAGCCACGACTGACTATTTTTTTTAGCCATGGTTTTATGGATGGAAAAGTTCACAGCCGACAGCTGTGAACTTTTTACTAAGTGCCGTGCACGTGTTACCCCTAATCTCTAATTTTACCCTAAAAACCCTCAACACTAACATTTATCTTCAATTGAGTGGTAACTGATCACATGATAATGCAGTCTGACTGCTCTGACATGACCCCAACTAGCCTATGCGATCTATAAAGAAATGTTTTTGGTTGACATGTTGTTTTGTTGTGCAGGATATTTTGGCAGGATCATTGAAAAAGTGCAGTTTGCGGAAGTTAGAAATTTTATGAAATGACGTATTTGCAGAGTGCAAACCATGATTTTTTTCAATCTTACAGAAATACATCACATTACAGCCGCGATATTTCAGAAAAAATAGGACTTTTCCAGTCCTGGACTGTGGCATCCACCTTACTTTACTGTATAGAGCTACTCTTGCTGAATTTTCACTTTGGGCAGTTAAAACTGCAGTCTTTTCACTAAATGTCAATAAAAAGATCTATAGTCAGATGGTGTAAGACAGGACCAAAATCACTAACAAGCATGTAGCATCTATACCATGAATAACTAAAAAACCCTAAACCTATCACAAGGTGTAGTATCTATGCAATGGGCTTCTAAGCTACAACTCAGACGTTTTGCATCTAATATAGTTTTCTGTACAGATTAAAAAAAGGGAGCTGGTCCCATCTTACCCCACTGGGGTAAGATGGGACCAGGCTGGGGTAAGACAGGACCAACTGGTAATTCTTATGTTACAAGGTTTCTAATAAAAGTACAAATCTGATATTCTATATTATCAATCTAGAAACACATTATTTGATTAAACAACCACTTGTTACTGTTTTGTGTTGCGGGAAGTCAACTCTAATATCAGTCACATTGGAGTTTTTGTCATGAGAAAACTTTGTTAAGCATAGTGATAGTGGGTTGGCTTTGGTTCATTGTAGAGCACTGCTAAATGCTTCATGTATATTCATTACTGTCATTGTCTGAAAAATGTATCAAATTGGTAATAAAAGCAATGGATAATAACTTACGTGTCAGACGTCATGTGTTTTCTTGCTAACTGCATTTGTGGTGTACTTCTATTAATGTAGCCCATGCCCTCTCACAGAGTTGTGATAATAATTATTTTTCATGTTTCACACAATGATTTTTCCCCCAGCCAATCTTGCATAGTTCTGCCGCTCACTAATGGGAAGAGACAACCCCATTTTCTATATCCATTTCATGCAATTTAAAATAGTGCACTTGATTTCTCTAATTAAAAAAGCTAACAAGTTATTATGAAGTTTGAGCCATAGATAAAATTTTTGACCAAAATACTCCATGTGCTGCACAATAATATATTCATTTAAAAACTATTTTTGATAAACTGTACCGTCAACCGGGGCTACTTGGGAGGATTTTGAACGTTTTTCATTCATAATTTCTTACCATGAAACATTTCATAAACAAGTTTAGGCTCATTTCAAAGCTCTTAGCAAGGGCTATCGCATGGCTTCTCCAAAAAAATTCCATATGCTATTTGTAAGGTGCCAGAAGCAAAAAAATGCCACAAGTAGCCCCGTCGAACGTGGCTACATGGGACACTTGGAATTAAACTTAATTTTAAAGCATTTAAATAAGTATCTGGTACTGGCAGGTGGGGGCCAGAGCCAGGGCCAGCATGTACCTCAATAAGTATCTGGTATTAAAGCATGCAGAGTGTACTCGTCCATTACTAACAGTACTCTGAAGTCCTCCTCTTTCATTGTAGATGATGTAGAGGTAGAATAAATGAGATTTTCTGTGATTTTTACTTGTTTTTTCTTTATTGATATGATATTAGCATATACATTAATTAATGTATTATTGATGCAATATTACCGTATACATTAACAGGCCATTGAGCATTTCAATTGCCTTGTCCACTGCAAGCTACATATCAGCAGCCTTATAGCATTTTTTGTGAAATTAATATTCATTTTAGAGCATGATTTGCCTAAAGAATAAGTTCATTTAGCATTATCTGTGCCAAGTATTAAAAATATAATTATGGCAGGCTTGGTCGATCAACGCGGGGGTTCCTCTTGGTGGCCATGGTGACGCATCTCCCTATTGTTCATCTGTCGCACTCTGCGAGTTGAAGATGCAAGAGTAGGCTGGCAGTGGAAGAGCAGCTTCTACTACTGGGATGGAAGCACAGGTCAGTACGTTTACCATTTACAGGCGATTTTGCAGGTTGTTGAATTGCTAATGCATTTGAAAAGGTGAGGCACATGGTCCGGCAGGAGAAGGCAGTGTGGACAAATGTTGTTGATGTTGTTATCAATCGTTATTGTGGCTGTTGAGTAGAATGGAGTGGCCGGATCGAAGTTGTGCTAATGTTCGTCTTGTTCTGCGTGGTAGAGTGGCTTCGGATGGATTGGTTTTTGGCGTGGGTGTTAGTCAGCCGTTGAGAAGTACCGGGGCGTGGGACGTCTCAACTGCGGTCGGGCGGCGTTTGTATGTAGTGTGTTGCAGAGTCTTGATGGATTGGCTGTTCATGGCGGCTGGCATGACTTGCTGAACGGTGCCGTGTTAGCGGACGTGCAGCGTTTCTTTCCTTGTACGAGGTGGTTGGTTGAGGGTTGTGATGCAGCGGCAAGGGTTGTTTATGCCGTGGCTTTTTACGAGGAATTGTGCGGCTAGTAATTCGGTGTGCTGTTGTACTGTTAGCATTCGGCATTCTGAGTGGAGGTGTGGTTCAGAGGTGATGTTGTGGCATCCTCTGATTGTGCGTAGAGCGGCGTTTTGTACTGTTTGTAGCTGGGAGGCGGTTGAGATTCGACTTGGATGTGCCTGGTGTCCAGGCTGGGTAGGCATAATCGATGATTGGGCGGCCAATTACTAAGTAGGTTTGGAGGAGCGTTCCTTTGTTTTGTCCACAAGTGGTTCCAGAGAGGGCTTTGAGGATGTTGTTGCGTTGCGAAGCTTTGTAGGCGGTGCTTTTACGGTGGCGGTGAAGATGAACATCGTGTCGAAGGTGAGGACGAGCATTTTTGGGTTGTGGTTGAGCGGCCGCACTTGATTGTTGATTTCCACTTCTGGGTGGTGATTGTACTGAGTGGTGTGAGGTGTGATGAGCGTGACGGTTGACTTGGTAGCTGAAATTTGGAGGTTGCGTTTGGTGAAGGTGGTCAGCTCCGGCAGGTAGTTGTTGAGTTGTTCGGTAAGTCGTACGGTGTCGGGTCCGGTTGTGTAGTTGGTGAAGTCGTCTGCATGAGATATGATTTTGGTGTTCAGCGGTTTGGTGGGGCTTTGGAATCTTAGTGATTGATGAGCGACATGGACAGCGCCGATCCTTGTGTTACCCCAGTGTGGATGATTCGTTGTTTCGATATTTCGTTGCGGAATCCGGTGTAGGCTGAGCTTCCATTATTGTACGGGCGCCAGTTTGACGAGAACAAACGGGCCATCAAGGACGCCGGTGGCATCGCTGCGCTTATTCGCCTCCTCGTGACGGGCATCCAGTGGAATCTGTCCTCCTGTGAGGTGAGTAACGACCCTATCCTCCTGATGGGTTGTAGAGCTCCCTGGACGTTTTACCTCCTGTTATATTGCCTACCTCATAGCTATGCCTCATATCAGCAACGCTGCAGTAGATGTAATGCCCTGTAGCAGCAATGCCTTAATTAATAAGCCATAATGCACTCTGGTCGCAGCACCCTATTATCTTTAACGCCTCCGGGTTCTTTAACGCCCCCTTGTGTTGCAGGACTCAGGAGCTCAAGACGTGCATACTGGACGAGGCGGTGCCGGCGCTGGTGGTTGTTGTTGTTGATGTTCCCCGAGCCCCGGTCACGCCAGGAAGCCCGCGCCGCGCAAGAAAGCCGCCGCCCGAGCCGGCTCGGACCATAGCTGCGCGATGGATGTTATGCCTGCCCGGAGCCTGGGTGCTGCCTACTCCGGGCACTCAAGCAGAAGATGCTTGACGGTGTGGGGGAGTGAATGACACTGGGGGACAGGTCTGTTTGAGTGCTGTCCAGGCGGTGTTTGTAAGGGGATGGGGACCGCAGCGGAGTCTGCTGAGGTGCACCCTGTCTGCACGGCTCAACTGCTGTTATGTATGGCTGATGTCTGGTGGTATGTCATCAAAAGAAGGAAGAGCAGCAGTGGCGTGACGGATAGAGTTTACTTACCACACATTATTTTCTCCAGCTTGTTTTGGGACTTTACCGGATAACCAGCTGATGTTGACGGACAGGTCGGAGTCACCGCAGCTAACGCGGACCTGTTTAGGTTAGCTGACACAACTGCTGGGTCTCATCCAAGCATTTTTCTCGCAAAAAACTGGGAAAAATAATTATCCAATCTTTTCAGCCCTCTAGTGTTAGCATTGGTGTGTGTTGATGTAATTGTGATGTTGTTTGCGTAAGACGAAATGTGAATGTTGTCTGGTGGGGCTGGAATGTCGTGCATGTAAAGGTTGAAAAGTGTTGGTGAGAGGACTGATCCTTCGGGTACTCCGTTCGGTATGTTCTTTGTGTGTGATGATATGCCATTGTAGTGAACGAATGACTGTCTGCCTGTTAAATAGTTTGCAAGCCAACGTTTGGTGTTGTTATGTAGTGTTGTTTTATAGATTTTGTCTGTGAGTGAGAAGCATGTGATGGCATCAAATGCTTTGCTAATGTCGATTGTGATCAGAAGTGTGCGATGTGCAGGGCGCTTGGAGTTTATGCCATATTGTATACGTTGTATGAGGTTAGTGAGGAGTGTGGTGGTGGAGTGATGGGTTCTGTATCTGTGTTGTGTGGGTGAGAGGGGAATGTGTGGCGTGGTTATGGAGAGTATGAGGCGCTCTACAACTTTGGGTGGTGTGCAGAGGAGTGTAATGGGCCTGTAGGAGGCTGCCTCGGTGGGGGTTTGTTCGGTTACAGGAGAGTTATGATTTTGCCGGTTTTCCAGATTGAGGGTATGATGCAGTTGGCAAATGAAAAGTTGTCTATATTTGTGAGAGTGATGATACCATGCGGGCCGAGGTGTTTCAGATGAATGTTTGAGATGTTGTCTGGCCCCATGGCTGAAGAATTTTTGAGCTGTTTTATGATTCGTGAGGTGTCTGATGCTGTGGCTAGGATGTAGTTATTCGCTAGTGGAAATTTGTGTTTGCGCCTGTAAATTTGTCTGTCTGCCCTGTGCTTGGGTAGGTGACTTATGCTGGCATAATAATTTATCAATATGTTGGACTGTTGTTTGCGGGAAGGGATGGTATCCGAGGAGGTAATTGCCGAGTGAGAGTTTACCTTGGGGACATATTTCTTATCAGCTTCGGCGATGATGGTGTTGAAGTGGGTGTGGTCGATGTTGGTGATGGGTTGTGTTCAGCTCCTGGAAGCAGACCTCCGTTTCCCTGGTGGATTCTTCCCAGGAGCTTCTGTTGTAGTTGCAAATGGTTTGTGACGTGTGGAAGTTGGTGCCTTTGGTGGAAGGCAGTGTGCTGATAATGGGTACATCGATAATAAAATCGACCTACAAAAATATATTGATAGAATCTTCTATTCGTTTCATTTTCTAATGTCTCCCCAACTTGATCATCTATTGAAAGCGTGTAAAAAAACGATAGTTCATTTTTAAATAATAGCTGGATTTAAATTATGGATTTTAATCTATTTAAAAATGGATTTGAAATAGTGTAAGGAAGAACTAGTTCATCATGCGCAGAGATTATCCATTTAATATTTTCCTGCGGATTTTCGTAAAACCATACATAATATTTAGATTCCTGTTAATTTTAACGTAATTTACGGTGTAGTAGAAAAAAATGCGTTTCATTAGCACCTGCACCTGAAGAGAACTACTTTATGGTGCGGAACGTTTATGCATTGACTAGATATTTAGGAAATGTCTTTCGCATTTCAATTAAATTTGATTTTTAAACTGTAAAAAGTAGGATCAATAAAGGAACAGTGTCTAATTGAATGTATTAATAAAATACTGTAAATTTAAATATGGTGTCCCCGATCCTATACCATTTTTGACGGCTTACTAGGCATTGCATCACTTCTGTTTATGGGGCGCTGTCCATCAAGGAGAGCATGCTGGATACGTTTCATCAGCCTTTGGGGAGAAATAAACTTAACTTAATCGAACCACGTAATTACTCTTGATCATTTTGTGGCATCTTTTGATCACAATATATTGGAAAAGAATCTAATGTGACATTGAAAAAGTTATTATCTAGCATTTCCATCCATCTTCATTTCATAATTATTATAACAAAAATAAATGAATATTGCACCTGAAGAGGAACTACTTGATGGTGCGCAGCGTTTATGCATCGACTAGATATTTAGGAAATATCATGCGCATTTTAATGAAATATAATTTTTAAACCATAAATAGTAGGATCAATAAAGGAACAGTGTCTAATTGAATGTATTAATAAAATACTGTATAGTTCAAAAAGGTGTCCCCGATCCTATACAATTTTTGACTGATTACTAAGCGTTGCATCACTTCTGTTTATGGAGCGCTGTCCATCAAAGCGAGCGTGCTGGATACGTTTCATTAGCTTTTGGGGAGAAATTACTTTAGGAAAAATATAAAAATTACTTTATCACGAGGACATATTGAAAAGGCACCTATGAAAGTAAATACAATTTTTAATGCAAATTCAAGTTTTTCGAAAAACATGATATTACGACTCGCTTTGGGAAATACGGTACATGTAGCGCTCCTTCTTTCTAGATAATGCACTTTATAATCAAGCTGGGCATATTAAAAGAGAAGAAATTCGTGTACTATGAAGCTCAATAACATTTACTCAACAGTTGACAGTTTTGTAGCTAAGCCATGGTCTTCATTGAAACGTGTAACATACATGTGCCTTTCTCTTGTAATGATGAACAAGCATGAAAGCGAATTACCTGATACTGAAACGCAAATAGGCGTCGATCTGATCATCTATTAGATGGAAAGATCTTGCAATTTTCATGAATAATGCTTATTTAACTGTGCATATTATGAGTAGTAGGTCGTAAAAGCAATTGAAATAAGGTAAGAAAAAGCGATTCAAATTAGTTACTTAGTATTATACTACGTTCGAAGACAGGACTATGTGATCACGTATCACCTGTTTATGCTGCGCTGTTCACGATGACGAGCGTTGCTGGCCCCTGGAAGGAGTTGTGTCCTTGTTGCTCAAAGCTGATCATATATTTTTACTACGGGCCGTGTCTCCTTTTAGGATTATATTTTTCCAATACAAAAGAAAACGAGGTTTTCCTTGAAACCCAACTTAGAAAATAAGACTCGTGTACCCGAAAAAGGTTTTAACAGCAATACCATTCAACTAATTGGCAAATCCATTACTGACAGTTTTGCCTTGGTTATTGAGACTAAATTCTTCAAATTGGCCAGAGAAAGTCAATAAAACTATCAATTTTGGAGATTTTCGGGATTGTCCCCATTACAGAGCAAATTTGAAAAACTTTACCATGTCCCCAAAAAGTGGCAATTCGATATATATATATATTCTAGAGGAGTGATGTATATGCCCCATCTAGAGGAGTGATGTATATGCCCCATCTGGAGGAGTGATGTATGTGCCCCATCTAGAGGAGTGATGTATGTGCCCCATCTAGAGGAGTGATGTATGTGCCCCGTCTAGAGGAGTGATGTATATGCCCCATCTAGAGGACTGCTGCTTTTGCCCCATCTAGAGGAGTGATGTATATGCCCATCTAGAGGAGTGTTGTATGTGCCCCATCTAAGTGAGTGATTTTTAGGCTCCATCTGCAGGAGTCTTATTAATGTTCCATCTAGAGTAGTGTTCATGTCCTTTCTACAGGAGTATTGAAAATGTCCAATCAAGACAAGTGTTGTTATTGTCCTCTCTAGGAGACTATCATCAACGTCACATCCGCAGGGTGTTTATAATATACCGTCTTTTTCCTCATGCGATGGGAAGGCGAGGGATAGATATAATCTTCGAGATTTGTGAATCCTTTTCATATTTCGCGAACTTTGCTAATTATTATTAATAAAGGAAATGTCAAACACACTTATAAGATTGAAGCCATGTATATGTTATGTTATTTAATGCAAAAGGAATTTTATTACGAAATTCTTGCACAAAAATTAATAACACTTTTTCATCAGGTTCTTCAGCCATGATCCTATAATCTATAATAATCGCTTTCGGTTTGAAGCAGCTTCCAATAACATATTTCTGAGTTAGCTCGATTGTTGACACTAAACTTCGCGCTTTTCTTAATTGCATTAAATCTTCGATAGTTCATAGAGAAAATTTTTGGCCATATGACGTGTTTCAACTAATAATATAGGTGCGTCAACTGCTGTACTTGCTAAGCATCGTCTCGTTATTAGTAAATTAATTCAAGAGAGCAGCTACTTCTTATCTACATAATTTTACAAAAATTGCCAGAAAAATGAGCAAACAGAATGAAAATATACTTTTCATTACTTCTCACGTAAAATGGAACTAGTTTGCGGCGCGTCGCCGCCCGCGAGTCTGTTGATTGCGCCCCCGTAAACACGCACGTATTACGGCGCGGTGTATACGTAGATAGACATTAGAAAATAAATAGAAAATATGCCAGTGGGCCGGGTGCTCCCGCGGGGATGGTTGTGTGATGCCGCGGCTCATGACAGAATACAATGACTTCACTGCATACGCTTAATTCACACAGCTGCTCTCTAGGCAACTCTGCTTATAAATTTGTCTATGAATTCATTGGTAAAAAATATTTCTTCATAAACTTATTAATAACTAAGTTTCCTGAGCCTCCTTTCGTGAAATATTTTTTTGAGGTACTGAAAAATACGATTACGTCAATGCCAGCAGCTGAGACTTCGACGACCAATTACAATACTTGCAGACGAGGTAGAAAACTTCATCAAAGCAGTTTTGGACTAGGTGATTCGAGTTTTATTGAGTTATAAATATATTTCTATTAAAAACAGGGATGAAGTGAACTTTCAAATTTCCTCGTTTCAAAAATAGTTTTTGAACGATTATATACGTAGTCAAATGTACCTGAGGGTTCCATGAAAATGGATATGTCCTATATATGTATGTTGTCAAATACCTGAGGGTTCCCGCCTTTTACAAGATTCTGTGTTTCAATATACTGCTCTTCCTTCATGGATAGTAATGTAAACGAGAGACGCCTACACCACTCAATCACACAAGAGGTTGATACTGAAATTCGGGATTTATTCTAGTAATACCGCGCGCAAAAAAACAAATACTGAGACTAAGGTTAACTGCCGTCTTCGTGGCTGAGTGGACTAAGGCAGCTGCTCTCGACCGTCTTATTGCAGTCTTGGACTCTTGACAGGGAGTTGAATCTCGGTGGGTGACACCTCGTTTCTTCAAACAGAGTTCGACAGAGGTGAGAGCAATGAGTGAAGTTCCATGATACCCATACATACCGATATTAATTGTGCAATGAATATATGTATAATATAATGAATATGCGACTAATTCCGCTGTGAAGGAGAAAAGCGTTGTAATCAGGTAGAGACGGACGGACAAATATAGTTTTTCTGATTTTGGTTGGTAGGCTGTCATGGATTTGACTGGGATCGGCTGGAGGAGTAGAATATATGGGAATGATTTCATCAGGCGCAGGAAACTGCAGGACAGGAATATTGCAGAGATTCTGAAAATATGGTTAGCTTCTCCGTAGATTTATTCATGCGCTGTCCGTTGAAACTGGTAGGTTTCTCAAAATCCCAATTTTGAAGCACTTGGACATTTTTGAAGCCTCTGGGCGGCCGTAGGTGTCTCGGTTTCGGCATGAACCCTCGGAGACGCCTTAAAACATCCAAATGTCTCAAAGCAGGGGTAAATTTTCTCGCAGTGTTGAAGGGTCTTTTGCGATAGCGAAAGTTGAAAGAGATAAAATGCTGGTGGCAATCTTGAGTCAGCAGAAAATTAATCACACAAAAATTCACCACGTTATTAAAGAAAACTTTCTGGAGTCCCGCTCTATCATCAATTAGAAAATTCTAGAATTCAGATACTATCAGTTGTTAGTTCAGTTGAAATTAAGAAAAAACAGATGTTAAAAAATAATTGTATAGATAAAAGTAAATGAAAACAACAGGCACAGTCTATCAATTATAAATTTCAAGTAGACAAAAGCTAAAAGCTGCATTTAAACTATAACTCTTTATGAAAATATACAAGGATTCTCAAATAAGTATTCTGAAGCGTCAGAGGTGGAAGCTAAAATATTAGTCACAGTAAGATGTTTATCAGCACTAGGTACTGCGCGGAATAATATTTGTCGTAAGGCCTAGCCAGTCAAGTTAGAGCACTTTGTTTCCGGCGTCCTTGCGAGGCTGACTGCGCTATTATAGGCTGCTACTCTCAGGCACGAGTGCATTTGGAATCGTGTTCTTTAATTAGGATCTATATATTGATTATTATATTGTGGATTATTGCATTATCCAGTTTCGTTCATTTCTACGTGTATTTATTGTCATTTGTTTATCTCAGCAGGACAGAGCGAAATCCCTCTTCTCT